GGGCACCTGGGTGGCTCATCAGTTAAGTGTCTGACTCTTGATTTAGGTTCAACTCATGATCTCATGGTTGTAAATCAAGCCCCGCATCAGGCTCTCTGTGCTGGGCATGGAGCCTGCTTGGGATTCTCTCTCTTCCTCTTCCTCTGCCCACATGCACACTTTCTCTCAAAAAAATAAAAATAGGGGCAGCTGGGTGACTCAGTCGGTTAAGCATCTGACTCTTGATTTCGTCTGACACTTGAGTTCATGAGTTCAAGCCCTGCATAGGGCTCTGTGCTGATGGTGTGGAGGCTGTTTAGGATTCTCTCTCTTCCTCTCTCTCTCTCTGACCCTTTCCCACTTGTGCCCTCTCTCTCCCTCTCTCTCTCAAAATAAATAAATAAGCTTTTTAAACTGTTTTAAAATAAATAAGTAAAAATAAATTTTTAAAAATTTCTAAGAATAGAAAATAGAAAAATTTAGAAATAGAGCAGAAATATCTCTTTTTCATACAATATTGCTCTCTAATGCAAGCCAACAACTACATCCCATGGGCAACTGAACTAACAGTGATGTTTCTTCTCTGGAGGAAAACTGACCATTTTGGTCTCCAAGAAGACACGGACCATGGTCTTGTATGCTACACACAGAAGGTGACTTAAAGGATTTTTCATCCAATCCATTGACTTAAACCTCAAAATCCTTATATTATTAAGGAATTACTATATATTTTTAATGGTATTTATGGTTATTATGGTTATTTTTTAAAAGGATCCAGGTCTTAGAGATACATACTTAAAGATCCATAAGTAAATGAAGCAATAAGTATTATCACTTCACAATAGCCCAGTCGCCTGTCATGAGAGGGGAGTTGGTAGGGATATGGAGGAAACAAGGGTGGCCATATGTTGATGACTGTTGCATGTGGCTGTTGAGTACATTATGCTAGTCTCTCTACATGTGTGCATTTTTAAAATTTTCCATTTTGGGGCGCCTGGGTGGCTCGGTCAGTTGACTGTCCGACTTCGGCTCAGGTCATGATCTCATAGTTCGTGAGTTCAAGCCCCACATCGGGCTCTGTGCAGACAGCTCAGAGCCTAGAGCCTGCTTCAGAATCTGTGTCCACCTCTCTCTCTGCCCCTCCCCCATTGGCACTCTGTCTCTCTCTCTCTCTCAAAAATAAATAAACATTAAAAAAATATTTTTTAGGTTTAAAATTTGTTGTCTCCTCAGGCAGGCGATAAATTCCTTGAAAGTAGGCCTTAAAATTGTGTTCTCCTACTTGTGTTTCTTTGAAAATAACAAAAGTTATATGAACATACTATGGGTACTACTCGATGAAGTGGAACTGGGGAGCCCAGGTAGGATGGGCTACAGAGGAAAAGGTATACCTCATGGTGCTGCAGATCTCGTTCAGCATTTGCTCTCATGTGCCTTATTTCATCCTTCATGTCATCCAGCTCCTTTAGTACAAGCTCACATTTTTGGTCGTAACTGAGGCCTATCGCACGGTCCACACCTACGCGGGATTTGGATCTGTACCTGCCTCGTAACTGTAATACAGGAAAAACAGAGCCATTGTCAAGTAGGAAGTGATGCTCAAGCTGGGCATCAAAATGACCACTCAAATTGGCTAGAAATTACTCCAAATGACAGCCAGGGAGAACAATCTCAATGTGAAAGGATTCGGGATATTAGGCCTGAGGTGATGTTTTGTTTCCCAAGCCAACCCAAGGCCCTCTGCTAAATAATTCAAAGGCCTCTGTGTGATAATGAACTGAAATATGAATAAGGGAAAGTGTCTTGAGGGTGGAAAGACTGTGAACCTGCTATAGACTAGCATTCAAGTCAGTGTCAGGGGAAGCCCCAGAATTCAGTCCTTCCTAAACTGAACACGGAGGAGAAATTACATCTGGGGGCGCAGTATTCAGCAAAAGAACCAAACAGACAAAAATATTTTGATTTCCTACACACTGAAGCCAAAGGTAACCAGCAGACGGCCCAGGGAACGTGTGGCCCCAAAGGTGAGATTATTTGGCCCTTTCAAAAGATCTACATACAGTTTTACATTTTCAAAGTTAATTACCCACGTTTGAAAAGCAGGAGATTCCACCAAAATAATCTAGATTCCCAGCCTCTCTTGTAAAATCAGCTGCTCTGGCCAAACCAGGCCACCTGACTGGAACTTTTAGACAAGGGAGGAACTCTCTCGTGCCCACGCAGACCCACTTCCCTCCTATATGTGGCTAGATGGGGCTCGTAAACATTTGAGCCCCCCAAGTTAAGAGAATTATTTCAAACAAAGTTACTCTGGGAGAGTCAGTCCACTATTAATTGAACCTGATTCCCTTCACATTCACTTGAAAGAGAAACCCTGGGAAGGAAGGACCAAAAGTAGAACAGGGAGAAAATCATATGTAACTTGGCCAAAGAGGGCACGCCACAGGCAGATACACAGATACCACTTGCATCGAAAGGGACAAACAGAAGAAAATAATTCTCAGGTCTCCTGTGCAAATTCTGCGTACCTGTGCAAATTCTGCTCTTGTGATTTTAATTTCTGATAACCGTGGATGTTGCTGATCCCTGGGCTCCAGTTTATTATAATATTTCTCAAACATCTCTGTCTCAGTTTTGAGAGCAGAGTTTCCATAACTGCAAGACAGAGGGTATGTGAGTAAGTTCTACTGATGAGAGTTCAAACCCTAAATCACTAGCATTTAACTTACTAGCTACACAGGACCTTTTGAGAGATACTTAACTTCTTGGTGTCTCAATTTCCCCATCTGTAAAATGGGAATAATAACAGCACTCATTATTTAAGGTTGCAATAAGAAATGCAAAACCTTTGGAACAGTGCCTGGTACCTGATAAGTGCTATTTAAGTATTTGGGTTTTTTTTTTTTAATCTGCTTAATGCGGGGTGCCTGGGTGGTTCAGTCGATTAAGCATCTGACTCTTGATTTTGCCTCAGGTCAGATCACACAGTTCATGCAATTGAGGCCCACATCGGGCTCTGTGCTGACAGTGCACAGACTGCTTGAGATTCTCTCTCTTCCTCTCTCTCTCTCTCTCTCTCAAAAAATAAATAAATAAGTATGAAAAAAATTTAATCTGCCTAATGAGCCACAAAATTGAGAACAGGGATTATGGTGAAAACTGTTGCTGAGATGAAGCTACAAATTCACCTTCAAGTATCTTCTAACCCATTTGTAAAGTTCCTTCTGAATTACTACAGGTGTGAAGTTACTATACATCCACAGTCTTCAGATGTTCCCTTTGGCTTATACTTCTCAGTTTTCTATTTTAATATTTATTTATTTTTGAGAGAGAGAGAGAGCACAAGCAGGGGGCAGAGACAGAGAGGGAGACACAGAATCAGAAGCAGGTTCCAGGCTCTGAGCTGTCAGCACGGAGCCCAATGTGGGGTTCAGGCCCACAAACCATGAGACCATGACCTGAGCTGAAGCCAGATGCTTAACCAACTGAGCCACCCAGGCGCCCCTGTTTCTCAGCTTTTATTTCCAGCACTCAAGAGATGGAAGCATCCACAAGAGGTTTATTATTATAAATGGTGGAAAACCTTTGAACAGGTGGTTCTTGAGCAATTAGCGATGACAGACCTAGTTTATCCTGTACACATCAAGCTTATGACCTTTTTAACTTCTTCATACATGCAACATACAGGTTTTATGTGTGTGTGTGCATCTATCTATCTATACATATGTACGAACAGCTTTAGGTATTTTCATGTATTACTGAGCGAATTCCTATGGGCTGAATTTTAAGATTAAAAGAAAAGGCTCATTGGAAAACCCCAGAAATCAAAGTGCCTTTTTTCTTTCAGCATGTCACGTTCCCAGGTAGGCTGTGGCGTGGCACCTGAGTCTGAATCCCAGCATCACCACCGACTTGCTGCCTGATGTCAGGAAAGTGGCTAAACCCATTTCCTTGCCCGCTTCCTAGGGTTACTGTGCCATTATAGAAGGCCATACGTGCAAAACAGTCTGCACGTAACAAGCATTCAAAAACAAGCATCCAAAAAGAGGTAATATTCCCAGTTCTGACCTACACTATTTATAGACATATAGGGGCGCCTGGGTGGCTTAGTCGGTTAAGGGTCCAACTTCGGCTCAGGTCATAATCTCCCAGCCCCTCAGTTCGAGCCCTGCGTCAGGCTCTGTGCTGACAGCTCAGAGCCTGGAGCCTGCTTCGAATTCTGTGTTTCCCTCTCTGTCTGCCCCTTCCCCACTCGCGCTCTGTCTCTCGCTCTCAAAAATAAATAAACATTAAAAAAACAAAAGTTGTAGCTATTACTAATATTACCTCAGTTCTGACCTACACTATTTATAGACAAAGAAGCAACATCTGTTCAGCTGCTAGAACAGGATATGCTGTGAGACCAAGAAGTTGTACAATTGACCTCTGAACTCCCAGAAGCCAGCCGGCCGGCCGTACCTGAGCTCTTCCACCAGCCCACACAGCTGGATAATAGGCAGCTCGTTCTCCTCTCCCCCCTGTAACTCGGTGGCAGGGGTCTCAGAGTCCTCATCACTCATCACTCTGCCCAAGTGGCCCTTGTCAATGCTCAGTGAGGCCAACAGCGCCGTGTGCGAACGGCAGAGCTGCGCGCGGGCTGCGACCTCCAGAGTGCGTTGCCGGAGCGACCGGACGCGTGCGTGCGGGGCGGGACTTCCACAGGCCCCGCCCAGCGCCCCTCCGCCCGTCTTCCCGCGGACCAGAGCGCAGTCACTTACTTCCTCAACAATCGTTCATAACGCGCTGATAATAGCAGGTACTGTTTGCGCGGCACTTACTATGCCCTTGGCACCATGTGAAGCATAGTTTGTGAAAATCCTTGCAACAACCTTGTAATCTTACCTATTATTCTGTTTATTCTCCAAATAGAGGAAACACCCAGAAAGTTCACTCGGTTTGTCAGCTTCTTCCTTCCCCTACCTCACTGTGAGTCCTCTAACTCTGTTCACCATCTGATGCTTCATACATACTAACTGCAGTTTCTCTCAGATACCGATATCCTGCATTCCTAGAAGAAAAAAACCTGACTATTAACTGGTATAAACTCAAGAGACATCTCTAAATAGGCACTGAACACCTATTATGTATCCTGGGGGAACGTATGGAGCAGGCAATTCCAGCTCTCGCTTCTGGTTAAATGAGAGGGAAAGAACCCTCAAACCAGCTGTTGCAAATGGAGTGAGGATAGCAATAATGTCGCGCTTCAAACATTTTCATACTCATCATCTCATTTAATCCTCAAAACAGTCTTACGAGATTGGTATTACTGTCTTCATTTTACAGATCGGGAACTGAGCAGTAGAGTAGCTTTGATGAGTTGTCCGTGGTCACAGAGGAATGGAATCAAGCTCTGGCAGAACACAAAGTTCATGCTGTCAACTTCTACATTGTGTGTGTGTCATGGCAAGGATAGGCAAGGCAGCAGGGTAGTTACCTGTCTGTTCCCATTGGGATGGAAGAGGGCAGAGGGCAGAATGGGCAAACTCCTCCTCTGAGGTGGGGGTGGATGTGGTTAGAAAACAAGTTGTGATAAATGCTTGGAGTGGAAGTCAGCTGCCTTCCCCCACCGAGGGACATGCCTTAGCGTCAACACGTAGTCACTAAACTCCAAAGAAAGGCTTTTGTGTTTGGGGGTAAGGTGCACAAATTTTGGGCCAGAGTGGAATTACTGGAGATGACAGTAGAGAGGCTGAGCCCTGCCATCACCTTCTTCTCTCTACTGGTAGACCTCTCTGCACTCTAGAAGCAATGCAGACCACATTTAGAAATACTTAATATTGGGGAGCCTGGGTGGCTCAGTCGGTTAAGTGACCAGCTTTGGCTTAGGTCATGATCTTGAAGTCCATGAGTTTGAACCCCATATCGGGCTATGCCCTGACAGCGTGAAGCCTATTTTGGATTCTCTCCCCCCACCTCTCTCTGCCCTTCCCACACTTGCACTCTCTCTCTCAAAAATAAATAAATAAACATTTCTTTAAAAAAAACAATACTTAACATGCTCATATGTCAGGTGATACAAATGGAGGCCAGTCCCAGGAGGGCCTGGAGCAAGAAAGGACTCTGCAGCAGGTCCACACTATGATACAAATGGCCCCATCAGTTGTGTTACATGATAGAGCAGATCCTATGGTGTTGGAGGTATCAGTGGTGGGAAAAGATGCAGTGTGAAGCTTAAAGCAATATCCAGTGGAAGAACCACAATGCAGAACCTGAGATTTTGGAAAAAGACCACATCAGGGAATTTCATGCCCTTTGAGAAACAGCTCCTGGCCCGTTACTAGACGCTGGTAGGGACGGGATGCTTAACCATGCATGCATTCAACCCTGCTTATCATGACCTGGGTTCTGTTGGACCCACTGAATCATAAAGTTGGACAGGCCCAGCTTCAGCTCATTGTAAAATGGAAATGTTCCATCCAGGATGGAGTCCCAGCAGGACCAGAGAGCATGAGTAAGCTTTATGAGCAGGAAGCCCACAGCCACTTGTCATCAACCACACTTGCACCAGTACCCCCACTCCAGTTCACACTCATGACCATATTAGGGGAGGGGACAGGGTCATGATCAGCTAAAAGAGGAGGCAAAGCCTGAGCTTGGTTTAGAGATGGGCTGATTTGGAATGTGGGTACAAGCCAAAAAAAAAAAAATGGACAGTGGCTGCATTACAACCACATTCGTGGGAAGCCCTGAAAGACAGTAGAACAGGAAAATCTTTTCAAGGGGCAGACCTGTGAGTGGTGGACCTGGCCATCTATTTTGTATGGAAGGAGAAGTGATCTCAGATGAGAAGTGGTTACAGGGACTTGCTAATGGGCAACTTTGGCATAGGGACTCCCCATCAGCCTGGCTGAAATGTTGTTAGATGCTATAGTCTGAGAAGCTTCCTCTCCAGACTTCTCTGTCTTCTTTCTCAAATGTGAGACCTGTGTTGTGGTCTGAACACTCTCCCTGTCTACTCCTGCTTCGTCTCCTTTGTCTATCACAGGCATTTCCCCCATTAAATAAATCCCTTCATGTCTAATTCCATCTTGGCTTAGAGGACCTGAACTCACACAAATAATAAATTTCAATCTTAAATATATGATTCAAATTTAGTAGCACAGTACGTGTATGAACTAAAATCTGTGCTTACCAAACAAAAATACCTTGCTGTTCTCACTCTGTTTCACTGCATTGCAGTTTTTAAATTGTGGTCACAAAAAAACCAAACACCCAACATAAAATTTAACATCTCAACCATTTCTAAGTATAAAGTTCAGTGGTGTCTGGTAGATTCACATTGCTGTGCAACCAGTCTCCAGAGCTTTTTTATGTTGCAAAACTGAAACTCTGTACCCATTAAACAGTAGCTCTCCATTGCCCCCCGCCCCCACCCCTGCCCCCACCCCTGCCCACCACCTTTCTATTTTCTGTCTCCATGAATTTGATTGCTTTAAATTCCTCACATAAACTCAGTCATACAGTATTTGTCTTTTTGTGACTGGCTTTTTCACTTAACATAATGTTCTCAAGGCTCATTCATACACAGCACGTGTCAGAGCTTCCTTCCTATTTAAGGCTGAATAATATTCCATTGTATGTACACACCAATTTTTGCTTATCCACTCATCTGTCAATGGACACTTGGGTTGTTTTCGTCAGTGCTTTAAATTTTAAACACAAATAAAAATTCCAAAATTTATTAGGTAGTATGCTGTTCGATATTTATGTATGTGCAGTGTATTGTAGGTCAATTATAACTTAATAAAGCTGTAAAACAAGGAAGCGAACAAACACGCTCTCTTCTCTATCCCAGCCTTGTACATCAGAGCACCTACTCAGTAGCTACACTTGGATGTGTAGTGGGCATGTCAAAATTAACACATCGCTTTTCTCCTCCCTCCAGATCTGCTTTTTACCCATTCTTTTCCATCTCAGTAACTGGCATCTCCATCCTCCTAGGGACTCAGGCCAAAAAACTGGGAGTAATCCCTTACTAACCCTTAACTCCCCTCTTTTTCTCACCCCTGCATTGGATCTGTGAGCAGATCCCACTGGCTCTGCATTCAGATTAAATCTGGAACTCTTCTTATTACTATGACCACCCCTGTCCAAGCTACCATGATCTTTTGCCTGAATTATTGTGGTTGACCCCTCACTTTGCAATTTATTTCATGTCACTTACACCCCCCAATAAAACCTGGGGGTGGGGTAAAAACACTACCTATTCACCAAATTTTCACCCCTTTTGTACTTTATCTCCTTCAGGTCTTTGCTTAAATTAGTATCTTTGCAATGAGCCTTCCTTAATCATCTAGGTAAAATTGAACCCCATTCCTACCCCCTCCCCCCGACCCTTGGTATTCTCTGTTTTATTTTTCCCATAATGCTTATCTTAAGTAAATTGTTATATATTTTACTTATTCATTTGTTTATCTGCCTTTCCTCCCCAGCCCCATCCCACCCCCACCAACTAAAATATAAGCTCCAGGAGGACAGGGAATTTGTTTTGCACACGGATTTATCCCTAGTACCCAAAACAGATGCCCCACAGATATTTGTTAAATAAATGCAAGAATGTGGGGCACCTGGGTGGCTCAGTCAATTGAGCATCCAACTCTTGATTTCAGCTCAGGCCATGATCCTAGGATCGTGGGACTGAGCCCTGCATAGGGCTGCATGATGAGTCTGGAGCCTGCTTAAGACTCTCTCTCTCTCTCTCTCTCTCTCTCTCTCTCTCTCTCTCTCTCTCT